TCAGGGACTTGCCAGCCTCCTTTAGAGCGGCTGAAGGCCTCTTGGTCTGCCACCTCCCTGGTCTCCTCTGCCCTCTACCACGTCCATTCCTCCCTGCCAGGCTCGTTTACCAACAGCCGCACGGGCCTTGTGCACAGCTGCACTAGTGTGCCCCGGCGCTGCCCTTCCCTCTGCACACGTCCCTCTAAGAGCCCCTGGGTTTACTCTACCCCCTTCTCAGCACTTTGCTTAGATCTCGGCTTCTCAGTGAGGCCCAGCCCGCCCTACCTTACTCAGTGCTGTCTCTTCTGCAGTGTTTTTCACATGCTAACACCTGTAGTTCCTTATTAAGCCTGTTGACTATCATCTGTCTGCCCATGAGAATATCAGCTCCACAAATGCAGACATCTTCGACTCCTCTGTTCACTAATGGATCCAATGCACCTAGATGGGTGCTTAGCTAATATTTTTGATTGAAAATGATTGACCTGTCTTTCAAGTGGGAATATTTTTATTTAAAATGGCTTAACTGCAAAAAGCTAAAATTTTAGACTAAAAATGATTTACTTGCATTTAAAGTGGAATTCTAAGTAATATGAAAAACTCAGTAGTTTCTAAGTGACATGCCCACCTATAGTTGTTCTTACTATTTCTGTGTACTTATTCTTAACCATTTCTAATAGACTTGCGATCATGCTAAATTGAATTGGTACACTGTGACCACATCTGAGGGTAGCAGGGATCTTAATCCAGTTTCCAAGTAGCAATGTCTTCTAATCCCCAAATATGTGAGTATGTTTCCTAAGCGCTTCAAAAATTAGAACTTTCAGAAAATAATTACCTTCAAAGTGAAAATAGGCGACTATTACTAAAAGACCAAGCAATAAGTTGGTAATAACCTACTTATGTTGGGTGACAGATACTCAGATTGATTTTATTGTTATTTTTGTAACTGATTATTATGTCTTTGCCTATCTATATCTGCATCACACATCCTATTTTCTATGTATAAAGTATTTCATAATAAAGACGGAGGGAAAATAAACCTACTCAGAGTTCACTTATTTATCATCCTTTTTTATTTCTCTCCAGTTTTATGAGATGTGGCTCTGTGGACATAAATCTGGCTAGTTTGTGGAAATACAATTGCTGTGTGAAGGAATAATTACCTCACTTTCCCAGTCCACAGCTATCGCACAGGTGAACTTGCAATTGGAGACCCAATCAGAAAAATTGCCATTACAACTAGGAAAAAAATCAGACCTACTATTTTATTGATTGAACCAAACTCACAGGCTGTCATGACAGGTTAGAATATAATAAAGATAAAAAAAAAATATGGTTGTGGCCAAAGCAGATAAAATTTTCAAAAGGTCCATATAAAGGTCCACACTCTGGATGATATCTTGTTCTCTCACTGTAGCAGACCAAGTTTTTTGCTTGATTACCTTCTGTTTATCCTCCTGCAGGGAGGCTGTACAGACCTGGAGGCTTTAATGTGCCCCACCAGTACATGCGACTCTAGTCATGCGTAGAATTGTAACTGCTGAGTGTCACCTCCCTTTCTAACCTGTAAACTCCCTAAGAAATTCGTGCTCTTCATGTCTCCATATCACCCCACCCCTGGCTCAGACGGACCCAGTTTCAACTTCAGGTCTGCATTTACTGCTTCAGTAAGTATTTAAACCTTTCTGTGCTTTCAGTTCCTCAATGATAAAAAGGCAAAAATAATAGCAAAAACCAAGATGTGAGGATCAATGAAACTACCCATCTAAATTACTTAGCACATCTGGTACACAACATAGGTTGAGAATCCCTAACCTAAAAACCCCAAATCCAAAATACTGCAAAATCTGCAACATTTTTTGAGTGTCAACATGATATCACAAATGAAAAATTTAAAATCTGACCCCATGAGTTACAGTTATAACAAGACACACAATATACATTTTATCCAGCATTCCCAATGGAAGAAAGACCCATCTGCTACATATGCTAACTTTGTTTCATTCACAAAACTGTTAAAATGTTCTACAAAATTATCCTCAGCCTACTAGCCTAAAGTGTATATGAAACCTAAGTAAATTCTTTGTTGAGACTTGGGTACCCCATGCATTTCATTATGTATAGGTACATAATTATGCCAGAATCTGAGAAAAAAATCCAAAATCCAAGACATTTCTAGACCCAAGCATTTTGGATAAAGGTACTGAATCTTTATAGGCTAAAGAGACATTGTAACAATAATGAGTTACAATTACCATATGGCAAACAAACATGAGTTAAGAGAGAAGAAAGAAAGTAAGTCTCATAATATGATCAAGCTTATAATGCTCAGGAAGAGTTTGGAACAGCACCCTGAATCCAGCAGCGGGACTGTGCGGAGAAGCCAGGCTCTGCAGTCCTCTCAACAGGGTTCACCTGTCTCAGGGGCAGGCCAGTACGCCAGCTGGATCTTGGGAGTTGAGACATGTGGGCAGGACCAGCCAGAAGTGGAACTGAAATATTCTCAACAGTTAGCAAACTTGGTTTGAGTACTAACCATGGTGCCATTAGAATTTGCTGAGGCCATGGGGTCCTAGACAGCATTGCTAGCCCTACCCTGACAGGTACAGTACAATCCTCCTAAACTGGCGTGCATGGCCCACACCTTCCCTTCCAGCCACCCCTCGGTCTCCTTCAGGCAGAGAAATGCTGCTTTTCCAGATATACAGCAGCTTCCCCTAAAGGGCATGTTTCTCAAGCTGATTATACCTATACATATTAATATCACTATATGACCAGAATCCCTACCTAATACCTTTTAATCTTAAAATCTGGTGTTTGTTTTATATCTGAATGTATACAATAAATGCTTAGTCTTTAAGTTATATACTACTGATAACAGCGCTAAGAGAAAACAAATTTTCATACTAAAATATTAATCATGTTATTCTATTTTGTTCTACATTTTCCTATGTAGTGAATTCTTACAATGATTCTGTTGTCTATAAAACAAATTCATGAGGTACCAGAAAATTGTGAAGAGTTCAGCCTTATGAGAAAATTTATTCTAAAATTTGTGGACCCACTGGAAGGTTTTTGGTATAAAAATAAGAAAAATCTGAAAAGGGTCAGAAGAAAGTGAAATTAATAATGCTTGTAAGAAGGAGCATGCTTTAATGAAAATTCAAAGTAGCATATCAAGCAGAGACACTGGGGCTCAGCAGCAGTGCCTGCCTGGCAAGCATGAGGTCCTGAGTTCAATTCCCAGTACCCTCTCTCAAAAAAAAACAGACAGTTACAACAATCGACTTTACAAATAGCTTACAATAATGTTAATATGGAAATATCTAGAACTTTTAAATTATAGGCAAAACTTGTGGGAAATTAATGTACATTCTCAGGATATAAAAATATAAAACATTTAATGGATGCTCTAAAGCCTGGTAAGTGTTATGTGTAAGATTTAAAGTAACAGATTTCAAAGTTATATTTCTTTTTAAAATACCAAGCAAGCAATTCTGGAATATAATATTGGCCTGTGGGCTATTCTCTTAGTTTTTCAATAGAATGGAAAGTTGCCATCTCTCATATCAGCCAGAAATTTACAACTGACTCTGCCTAAAGAGGAACCTCTCAGAAACAAAAGCCCTCAGCCCTGAATGGTGGCCCAAACCTATAATTCCAGCAGCTGGAGGCTGAGGCAGGAGAATCTCTGTGCGTTCAAGGCCTGGGGTCCAGGCTACATAGAGATCCTGTCTCAACCAAACCAAACCAAAAAACCAAAGCAGGGGGTGGAGGGGGGTGAACAAATGGCTCAAAACACTCAAGTGTTTATATTTCAGAATTTAACAAAAACTGTTAGCATGTTTGTTTTGTTCTATTCGGTGTTTACGATTGATGGCAGGCAAGCACTCTGGCACTGACAACATCCCTTCTGGGTCGCCCCTTGTTACTTTTCCATTCTTTCCTAATATACCCAATGCTCTTACTTTACTATTCCATTTCCAGGGTCCAGAGATGTTAAACAACTGAATCAAGGTCATCCTTGCCTAGTTCGTGGCAGACACAGAACCAGAACACAAGCCTCTCACACTCCCAGAAAAGACACGAGTCTTAGGGATGTAAAAAACCAGTAAGTAAGCCCTTGAGGAGGACTTTAAACGAAGGCCTTTCCTAAGGCGGGAGCACACAGGAAGTGCCCGCGGAAGGCAGCACAGGGGATTTCTGCGCAGACCTCCGCACCCAGCGCGCTGTGAGGCCCACGCACAACCGCACATTCGTTCAGGAAAGGCAGGGCGCGCAGCGCTCTGGATTTGTTCACAGGGATTCCCTTCCGAAATTTCCATTTGGAGGCTGAGATTTTTAAATGAGTAAAACACTCTCGCCTTTGTTTAAACTGACACACAGCACCCCACCAGCTCGCATCTGGCCCTGAAACAAATGCAGCCGCCTTTCTGTGTGGAGCGTTCCCGTTAGCCCACGTGTCCCTAAGCATCTCATTAGAAGGTCTCTGCGAAGTTCCAGGAAGCACCACTTGGCTTTCCCAGAATGAAGGAGCGAGGTTTTCAGCAGGACCTCTGCGGCCAGGTTCCTGTTGGACTCGGGGGCCCCGGGCAGTGGCTTTTGTGCTATTAAAGGCCCCGGGCCTCTGCGTCCCACACCAAATTACAATATTTGTGTCCACGGTCCAAAAGTATCTCTCCCACGCTTTAACTCTGGAGAATATTTGGGAGGAAATGCCACTTTTAAAAAGCAGCAGCAGTGGTCTAGCAGTTGTCAAGGAAGGAAGCCTGTCGGATGCAACGGCCTGCGAGTCACATTCTGACTCCACGCCACTGGCATCCCGCCCCACGCCGCCCGCAGTCCCACGCGCGCCCTCGGAGCCGGCCCGCGGCCCGGGCCTCCACGCGCCCGGTCCCCGGCGGCTTCCCGGCAGGAGGCGGTCACGCGGCCGGCACAGACGCGGGAGGGCGGCCGAGTTCCAGGCCCGCGACAGCCGACGGCCGGGCTCCGGCTCGCGCGTGGGCGCCGCTTACCTCGACGGCCGTGCCCGCGGGGCGCCGGGCCGGCTCTGGGCGAGGACGGATGGCGGAGCGGCCGCGCCTGCAGTGGCCGCCGCGTGCGGGCGGGCCGGGTCGGTGGCTGCGGCCGGAGGCGGCGGCGCCCGCTCCACGCGTGTCCGCGCCCGGCGCACAGGCTCCGGGCAGGGGCCGCCGGCCTGCTCCCGCCTCCTCCGCACCGCCCACGGGCGGCTCGCTGCTCCCCGCAGAGGCCGAGCGCTCCCGGCCAGCCTCCCCGGCCGGCAGCGGCTCTGCGACGGTCTGCGAGGCTGCTTTGTTTTGCAACGGGGCTCCGAAGAGTTTGTTCAGTTTTGCCCGCGCTTCCTCTTTCGGGCCACTTGCGCAAAGCTTCCTGCCCGCAAGGCGAGGGGCAGGCCGGGTTGGGGAGAGAGCAGAAGAGGGAGGAGAGGGGAGGGGAGGGGAGGGGAGGGGAGGGGAGGGGAGGGGAGGGGGAGGGAGGGTGGGGGGAGGGGAGGGGGAGGGGAGGGAGGGTGGGGGGAGGGAAGGGAGGGGAGAGGGAGGGGAGGGGAGGGAGGGTGGGGGGAGGGAAGGGAGGGGAGGGGGGGAGGGGAGGGGAGGGGAGGGGGGAGGGGAGGGGAGGGGGAGGGGAGGAGGAGGGGAGGGGAGAGGAAGGGAGGGGGAGGGGAGGGAGGAAGGGGAGGGGAGGAGGAGGGGAAGGAGAGGAGGCGGTAGGAGGGGAGGGGGAGCAGAAATGAGAGGGGAGGGCAGGGGGAGGACAGGGGAGGGGAGGGACAGGAGAGGAGGGGGTAGGAGGGGAGGGAGAGCAGAAAGGAGAGGGGAGGGGAGGGGAGAGGGTAGGAGGGGAGGGAGGAAGGGGAGGGGAGAAGCCAGGCCTGAGACACAGAGCCCTGAGGGGTGGGCTGGCGCGGAGGAGGCCTGTGCCCGCCCAGGCACCCTTCTGGCACCCTCCTGGTTCAACCATGCAGAGGAGCAGTGCAGGGGCGCAGGGCCCCTCACTTGGCTCCGGGACTTGTGACGGCGAAGGAGCCATTGGAAATGACCTTGGGACCTTGCAGAGTAGCGAAGTGGCAAGAGAAGGGGGCCTCCAAACGCAGAAGTTAGAATCAGTTATGACTGGTAAACGCAGCTGAGTTAGGCCTCTTCCCCTGCAGGGCCGAGTCGTACAAGGCCTGGCCTGCGGGGAAGGCAGCAGAGTCCGGAAGTCAGTTAGACACACGTGCGTCAAGATCATTCCAGACAGTCTATTCTTCAAGGAGAGGTTGCTTATTAAGCACTTACTCTTCCAGAAACAAAACAGGCGTGAAGAAAACAGAGTTCCTCTACTCTGGGTGGCGCTTTCTAGACTGTAGAGGAGAGACAACAGACTGAAAGCAAGTAGAGTAATTTTGGTGTGAATTAGAAGGTGAAAGGGAAGGATGGGCATGAGGGTAGGGTTACTATATTAATGAGGCCCCTCGGGAGGGAGCTATCTAACAAGTCAGTTTGTTGAGGTTCTACAAGCAAAGGGAAAATAAAGGGTCGCACACACTAAGGCTCAGCAAAATGGCTGCCCCTCCGCCAGCCTGAGCAAGTGGCTTTTATTGAGATGAAGAACAAAGAAACTCAGACTGCACATGCTTAGATTATATAACTTGTTTGCTTCTTGTCCTTACAGGACCGCGTGTTTTTACCTTGGGGTGGGGGCGATGTTTCAAGGACTGCAGCCTTCCCCATAACATTGTTGACCAGGTGTGTCCCAGACAAAATGGAGTCAGTGTGGCCTCTCTACAACAGTTGAGCTAGACCTAAGGGAACTGAAGGGTTCCTTAAAGTCGGGTTTTTGAATGTGAATGTTCCTGGTTGAGATGCAACGCTTTCAGAGGGCTTGAGTTAGGAGAGCTCTTGAGATGTGCGGAGAACTGTAAGGAAACCAGTGTGTCTGGAGTAGCCGGGCTACAGACAAGAGGGCAACAAAGAGGCACAGATGGCCGGATAGTGTGTGGCCCTGAGGTGAGAGGGAAGGAAAGCCGTGAGAATGTTTCCAGCAGGACCTGCAGTGCTATACAGAGGGCAAAGCACATAGTGGAACACAGTGGCTTTCTTGGAGGAGGAAAAGTGTGGTCAAATAGCACCTCTTGGAAAAGCAATGACAAGAGATAGGACAAAGCATCCCTCAAAAAAAGCTAGAAAAAGCTTTGGGACGGGAATACAGAAGGTCAGAATGAAGGCAGGCCGGTGTAACTGCCGTATAGTGAAATATTAAGGTGGTGCTCCAAGATGACGGCCAGGGTAGCAGCAACCGACCAAGCAGAGCCCAGCGGTTAGTACTGAGGACTTTGGATTACCTTAAAATTGCAGTGGGGAGGCAACTGGGCACCTGATTTGACTTGTACTACAAGCCATCGTACTGGCTCATGCTTCTTTGGAAAAATCAATTGAATGGGGCAAGAGAGTAAGGAGGGGTGGGGGAGAGTTCAGGCTCTGGCAAAAGTCTAGATGATCACTTTGATCCCCAGTGATGGGGATGCTGGGCAGAGTTTGGATTCAAGAGAGAAAGCAGAACCAGCAGTGTTTGCTGATGGGCTGGAATGGAGGTGGGGCAGCAGATGGGTTAGAAATGACCTATAAACTAGTGTGATTGCTGTCCTGGAAACTGGTTCTAGGCAAGTCTTAGTTGAAAGGTCAGTAGCAATGTGTGGGCCGTGCCAAGGATGATTCTTCCCCTCCCAAGAGCAATGAAAATCGGTTAAATGATATTTGAGGTTGGCAAGGGAAGAGACTCATGTTTCAGAACAGTGACTCTATAATTGTTTTTAATAAAGTGACTATAATTTGGGGAATTGATCAGATGAGAAACTAAGCTGGGGAAGAGACAATACACAGTCTCAAATTAGAAGAAATGGTTGGAATGGAGAAGAACTGGCAAGATTGTTTGCAGGAGACCATGGTGAGCGGCTCTAGGCAGAATGAGGAAGAGGGAGAAGTAAAAGCCAGCATCCACCAATCAGACGTGTATCATGATGGCTGATCATTGAGATTCTTACTGGAACACTCAGGTCATGTCCGTTGGTGATGATATAGAGGAAAGAAAGTAAAAGATACAAGGGCAGAGGGGCTGGGAATTGCAGTGGTAGCAAACCAATGGCACCAGGGTGTTTACATCATTGAAAGCTCTAAAAGTTTTGCCATCACTGATTTAGGGGATTTGAAGGGGTTTAGAAGGGAGCCGAGCTGTTGTATAAGCAGTATAATCTCTATCCAATAGGAGACTATGTGTTTTCTTCAGGTCCAGTGTATGATATGTTTTTGCAGTATCCATGCCGGGACTATAAGTCCTCGAGCCTGTGGCCTGCTGGATCATGCTCTGGGCCAGTCCCAACCAAAGGACACTGGCAGATGTTTCTGTAAGATCCCTAGAGGGTTGTGACTCAGTGCACTCCATCCTGGGTTTCTCAACTCCATTTTGGAACTGCTGTCTTACTGCCTTATAGAACCTAGCTTCTGTCTCATTAATTTCTGTTGGCAAATGAGGAACTCTGTAAGACTACTTGGGCAAGGGAAGATAATGGGTTTTATTTTGATCGAGTCAAGTTTGACAAGCCCTTAAAGTATCTAAGTGTCAGCTGGGGTGGTGGGGCACTCTTATAATCCCAACACGCAGGAGGCTGAGGCATGAGGATTGTTTTGAGTTTGAGACCAGCCTGGGCCACATAGTGAGCTAAGCAAGGCCACCCTGAACTACATAACAAGACTCTGTCTCAAAGAGACAAAAAGATAAATAATAATAATAAAAAGATAAATCTAAGTGGCAACCTCTGCAAAAAAAAGAAGCTATGGACATATACACCATCCATGCATCTCAAAATGATTATGCCATATAAAAAGGCCATAGTAGTATATGATATTAAATGATGGTATTTATAAATAATACTTAAAATTCAAACTAATTTATAGTTGCAAAAATCTCAGGAAAACGAGGGAGAAAGGAAAAAAGATTACTGAAGGGAATAGTAGAACGTAAAAGTGATGAAATATTTACTGTTTTTATTTTGGTGATAGCCATGATAGATGTGTACATAGGTCAGATGTGATGCAATGATAAACTTTAAATATGTGCAGTTTACTATATGTCATTTGTGCCTCAAAAATCCACGAAAAAGCTCTTTGCACAATTCATGACTTCAAAGATCTATTGTTAATTTAAAAACTAATTTTAGTTAAAATCTTATTCATCAATAATGAAAAAATGTAAATGTCTGCCATATCAATATTTTAAATAAACAAATATTGATAAGTAAGGGGGGAATTTCTGTTTTAGACTTTCTCATAATTCAACGTTTGTTGTTGGAAGCCTTGATCTGAAACTAAGGTTTATTTATATGAGAGAGAGAGAGAGAGAGATTCAAAACGGTACAGGAAGAAATATAAAACCAGATATTTCTAATTACCCAGAAGCTCTGACCAATACCATAGGCTACAACAACTTATTAAATATTGCACTTAGTGCCATGAGGAGGTCTTGAAATAATTGTGCCCCTACAGCAAAGAGGTTTTGTATCAAGATTGAACCCACTTAAAAATACAGGCTTTTAAAAAATGTTAATGTTACATTTATTAGAAGTTAAGAACACAAACTATATTACATATTTTTTCATACAATTTACAGTATTTGTATTTACTTACTTATTTTTGCTGGACCTGTGTGACTCCTGATAAGCGTCCCTGAAGCACACAGTGCCTCAGGCTATCTGGTGGGGCTCCCTCATGGTGAGAGGAGTGTTAGCCAGTTCTAATTTTGATTATTAATTTACTGTATGCATATCTCCATGACATCATTGTAATAGATTGATTAACATATGAAAAAATATGCATGAAAATTTATTCCAATATTGCCCTGTTCAATATTTTAGAATCTCAAATTAAGAGTTGGCAGCTTTTAATGGGTGCAGGGTCCTTTTTAAATGTCTGTGAACACTGATCAGCTGGATATAAATAACACAAATTATTTCCCTGAGGCATTTGGGTTACCAACAAGGTTTTAGTTAATTAAAGAATTTAAATTATGGTTTGCATTAGATTAAATAATTTTATGTTTCTTAGAGATGAAAAGACTAACATAACAGAATTCCTTCACTTTCAAATAAGTCTTGATTTCATTGACTGACCTAAAAAAGAAGATATTAGTGCTGTAAATTGCTGAAGTGACAATTTTGTCTCTGCATATACTACTAATTATTATTATCTATGCACTATTAATTTTTGCATTTTACAACATATCTTTTTCTC